TGTGTGTGTGTGTGTGTGTGTGTGTGTGTGTGTGTGTGTCCTTTTGAGATAATTACTGTTAAATTTGTAATTCATTGTAAACTCAAATTCTGTGTGTGGGTGGAGAACTGAGAACATTTGCAATTCAGTCCTTGAGTCTTTCAGTTGAGGATTTCACTATTGAAGCTGAAGAAGTAAAGCTCCAAATGCTTTAGTTGAATCATTTAAATTGTGATGAAAATGAATGTTTTGTCTGAACTATGTATTTTGATGCCATTCAGTTTAAGTTGTGCATTCCATTTACATGATTTTATGAATGTTTGTTTTTTTTCCTGCTTATCCTCAATTTTAAACTGTTGTTGCTTTGTTATAATTATATTAGAGAGATGTTTAATAAAGATAAATACAATACAGAATTACAACAAAAAAAATCTTTAATGTGAGCTCTTTATTCATAAAAACAGTTTGATGCACAACGATTTGTGATAGTGTAAGTGAATTTAATGAGCTAGTGTACTCAGTTACTCACATGTAGGCCATTAGACAAAGACTATGCTTTTTACAATTTTTCACAACACAGTATTTTTAGATACATCTTTGAATATGTAACAGATGTTAATGCAAGGACAAATGGAGGTGATGGTACATACTCCATATGAAACATCTGCAACCTTGAATGTAATACACGTTAACCTTACTTACCGTATTTTAAAGTAAATACGGTACAGTATTTAATGTCGAATAAATTCTTGACTGTAATGTGTGATCACTGATGCTTCACTAAAAATTTCGCTCCTAAACTCACTTTTATACAATTATTACTGTTAACATTTCTGTTCATCTCAATGCCAGATGTTTTGTTGTTAGCAGACGATTTGGAAACACATGACCTGGAGGCTGCCATGTTTGTTTCTGGAACATTTGTCATGTGACTGATCACTCGTCAAATGCGGCAGACAAGGGAAAAAAGTCAATTTCATGCCTTTAAGGGCCCTCTAAAATCTGTTGCTGCTAAGACATTTACTATTTTAAAGAAATGGTAACGCTTTAGGGACCAATTCTCACGATTAACTACCTGTGTATTAGCATGCATATTATTGGCTGTTTATTAGTAATTATAAAGCACATATTAGTGCCTTATTCTGCATGACCATATTCTAGAATAGATCATTTAATCCTACTCCATACCTAAATTTAACAACTACCTTACAAACTATTAATAAGCAGCAAATTTGGAGTTTGACGTAAAAGCTATAGTTAATTTTTAGTTAATAATGAGAATTGGTTCCACAAATTGAAGTGTTGCCAGATAAATGTTTGTGGTTTCTATTGCATTTTGCTTGTTAAATACAGCGGGTAAAATAAGTATTGAACACGTCAACATTTTTCCCGGTAAATATATTTCTAAAGGTGCTGTTGGCATGAAATTTTAATCACATGTTGGTAACAACCCAAGTAATCCGTACATAAAAATAAAACAAAACAAATAAGTTCAGAAATTAAGTTATGTGTAATAAAATCGAATGACACAGGGAAAAAGTATTGAATTACTGAAATTAATTTAATACTTTGTACAAAAGCCTTTGTTGGTAATGACAGCTTCAAGACGCCTCCTGTATGGAGAAACTAGTCGCATGTATTGCTCAGGTGTGATTTTGGCCCATTCTTCCACACAGTCTTCAAATCTTGACGGTTCCGTGGGCTTCTTCTATGAATTCTGTCTTCAGTTCGTATTTTCTATTGGATTCAAGTCAGGTGATTGGCTGGGCTATTGTAGCAGCTTTCTTTTCGTTCTCTGAAACCAATCAAGAGTTTCCTTGGCTGTGTTTGGGATCAATGTCTTGCTGAAATGTCCACCCTTGTTTCATATTCATCATCCTGGTACTGTAGGTGTCGGGACTGAACCAGCTAATATTCATTTCCACTGACTAGGGGCAGGATTGCTTTCTAATTACTGATAGATTTCAGCTGGAGTCTTGGCTTTCCATGTCTTTTTGCACCTCCCTTTCTTCATGTGTTCAATACTTTTTCCCCTGTGTCATTCCATTTTATTACACAGAACTTAATTTCTGAACTTATTTGTATTGTTTTCTTTGTATGTATGGATTACTTGGATTGTTACCGACATCTGGTGAAAATGTCATGTCAACAACACCTTTAGAAATATATTTACTGAGAAAAATGGTGATGTGTTCAATACTTATTTTACCGGCTGTATATATTTTTTACTGGCCATGAGGCTGCGTTATTTTTATAGCTGTTTTTTCATTGTCACTTGAGATGAGTGTGTTTCAATCTTTTTGGATCTTGCCTTCACCTACAAGTGTAAGCAGGGCCTAAAACTAACTTTTTGCCACACCTGCCAATGGCCGGTGACATGATAAAATTTACCGGCCA